CATACCAGCAGACGCCCTTCCCTCTCTAGGCTTCCTATCAGCAGCACCCTTAAACTTCCCCTTACCAGTCGGAACACTGTAGGGAGTACCACCAAACCTTTGTTTATCCTTACAGTCACTTGCAGCCTTGTAATGTGCAATCCTTGCACGATTATCATTATCGTAAATCCGACTTCTACTTACCAATTCAGGATAGCTCCTGATCTTCTGACACGCAGTTCCCATCTTGATCTCTGGCCTCAGCCCATTCTCAAATTTCAAGCACTTAGAAGTCATAGCCTCCTCAGTATTGTAATGGGGACAATACTGAGCCAACTCCTCAAACTTAGTCGCATACTCGGCCACCGACATGCTGCCCTGTTTCAATTCCAAGAATTCCACCTCTTTAGCGTTTCTAATATCTTCTGGGAAATACTTCTCCAGAAAACCAGATCGAACCACCTCCCAAGTAATCGGAGTCCCCGAAGCCTCCATCCTCTGACGACAATTATCCCACCAGGCCTCGGCCTCTCCTTCGAGCATGTGAGTACCGAACCTCACCTTCTGCTCGTCACTGCACCCCATGGTCCTAAAGATCTTCTCTATTGCCTTCAGCCATTTCTGAGCAGCTACCGGATCCAAAATCCCACCTTCAAACTTTGGTGGCTTGTTGCTCTGGAACTGCGTTAAGTCTCTAAACTGAGCACCCGCAGCCAGATTCTGATTGGCCACTACTTGTGCCATAGCCTGCATAGCTGCAGCCAATGCCGCATCATTCCTCCCAGCCATACTGCTCAACAACAACAATCCAGGTTAACAGAAAACAACCACACTCTATCCTACGGACAGACTCAAACACACTACACTGGCCGGACGGACCGACCTGCTCTGATACCAACTTGTAACACCCCGTTCCCCAAAACAAAATAAAACAATTAAAATAAACACATATCAGAGTTCCTCTCCCAAACGGGATGTCACAATTCACATCAGAATTTCACAAAACATTTTTCCAAATTAATTTTTAATAAAGTTGCAGCGGAAAAATGAATATAGTCTGTCGTAACACAAAACAACATATATACATCATCCATATCATCAACATCATCATATGTACAACAATTGGCCAACTGCCCAAAATACATATAGTATCATCAACAATCATCACTAAACAGGATACGCCACAGGGGCACACAAAATCAACAGTAACCAATAAAACTCCCAAAAGACCCCGGTGTTACGTATCAGAGCAGTCCTACGGAGACACCACAATCCAAGCTAGCTAAACACCTGGATTATCTGTACTTCCGAAGAAGCACAGACCACAACAACAACAAAGGGGTGAGATTCACGATCAAATAATAATGGTATAGTTGTACATGAAATAAAAGGCAGAAAATCATATAAATATCATTTCATATACAACACATCTGGACCTACTGTCCCATCATCAATCTCAACATAAAATCATGCAACACATGCACACCCACACAACCCATGAATATGCGGTACCGACTCACAACAACGATGGGAACCGGGCCATCAACCCTCCACACAGGAGCACACATCAAAGATGGGCACTTGACCATCAACCCTCCACAAAGGAGCACACGTACCGATGGACACCTGGCCATCACCCTCCACAAAGGAGCACACGCACCGATGGACACCAGGCCATCACCCTCCACACAGGGAGCACATCTCCGATGGTCACTGGGCCATCACCCTCCACAAAGGGAGCATCACACCGATGGACACTGGGCCATCACCCTCCTCACAGGGAGCACATCATCAATGTCCCCCACTTGGGACACGGGTGGTCGTATACACTCCATTCGAGCAATGATCCAAATCCCGTCCACACACTAAGCAAGACACTATGCATAAACACACAGCACACACAGTGCACACGACCCCACTGGTCCATCGTATCATAATATGCATACATACACAAGCACACAAAGTGCATCGATCCTACCGATCAACTCGCTACACAACATATCACATACAATGCACATAAGGCGTGTCGGTCCTACTGACCCAAATATATCGCACAACAGCATATAATGCAACGCATAAACAGCGTATCGATCCTACGGATCCACTCATCACAACACATCACCACAACACACTCAAGGCGTGTCGATCCTACTAGTCCACATATCCCACACACTTAGCACATCGTGCGCACATCTCACAAACACATCCACACTTATCGAGAATTAACACATAATCCCCTGATTATGTCTAAGGCGATAAACGCCGGCTACACAACCCTACAACCTTCAACATACACTCGCCTCAGCTCTCCAGCAAGCTCATCATTAAACATGCCCAACAAGGGTCCAAGTCTACAAAGGAAACAACATAAAACAGCAGCAAAAACACAAACTGTTGTCGGGCTCGCTGGCACATTCGCCCGGCGAATCCCCGCAGCGAACACTCGTTGCCATTCGCCTGGCGAAACCTCTAGCGAAGCCAGACAGAAGCTTCTTCCAGCACTCGTTGGCTAGTTCGCCTAGCGAAGGCTCGCCCCTTCATTCGCCCAGCGAATACCTGCGTACTCAGAAAAATCCCACGCAGCAGAAACAACAACCTGCCCCGATTTCGCCCGATTAAATCAAAACTCACAACTAACAACATATTACCACTTAGTATGGGGTCTATTCCTGATTCTATCCGACAAATTGTCAACTCTACTCTAGAAACCAACTTCCGGCTCAACTTCGAAATTACCCGGAAGCTCCAAAACACTCAAACAATCGAACACAACCACATGCAATGATTCCAATACGATTCAACACAATAATAACAGCATCAATATCATGCATTCAACATCATATTATCATATCCTATGGGGATTAGGGATTTTCCCCCTTTCTACCAATTTTCATGCAAAACCATTTAACCGTTAAATTCTCCCCCCTTACCTCGAATGTAGTCGGATGATGATCAGTTTCCCGAATCTTCAGCCTTGATGCCCTCTTTGCTCAAGCTCTCTTGATCGTTCACTTCTTCATCCTTTCGTGTTCGTATGTTCCTTCCTTCTTCTATTTTTTTCCAAAAATGGCAATGTTACCCCTCATCCCAAATAATCCTCTTTTAATCCAAAATAAATATAATTCTCTTAGTTCTTTTAATTCACTAAAATCCAATTAATAACATTTTCTCATTTATATTAATATTAGCAATAATAATGATAATAATTAATAATAATTTTTACATTACTATCAATTATCACATTTTACCACAATTTATTAATATTATGAGTTCTTGACCTTCCAAAATAATTCTCAAAATACACCAGCGAGTAAAATAATCACAGAAATCAAAAATAATTATAATGGACGTTACAAGTAACTATTCCATGATAGTATGTGATCCTTGATTGCTGCTGCTTGCTCTCGTCATGTGGGAAGGACAACATCGATAGTTAAAATTTTTTTTTTGTGTGGCTCAAGCAAGTTTTACTAGAGTTCCACGGTGAGCATCAAATGTTCATGCAAAGAACACTAGTGATAACTCTATTGATGTTGGTCTATAAGAGTCGCAATGAGTATTTTTCTACGTAAGAGTTATCTCGTCCTTTTTGATTTGCTAGACATTTCCCTTTATACTCATTCTCCTCTGCTTGAACTAAGATAAAACCTTAAGTGCTATTAATCGGTATAATGTACATTAATAGTCATTTATTTGGTAATCATTGTAGGAAACATGTCGAGCATTCTCATAATTGCTCATAAATGTTATGTTTGTGGATATTCCCCTAGGACGGTCTTTTTTGCACCATTGTCACGTCCTAACTTGACCTAATCATAACCGACTCACCTTACTCTTGCAAGAGCTAATGTTACTTTTGGCCGAGCAAGCCTAAGAAACACCCGAAAGGTACATAAATGTTTTTAAAAAAAACAATCATATCATTCATATTTTCAATTGTAAGTAGGGCAGGAAATGAGTCAAGTCGAGTCGAACCCGCCTCGGCTCAACTCATTAAGAATTAGTTCAACTCAAATTTCGGTTCGAGTCTACACGAACTCTTTTTATACTTAAACTCGACTTGTTTTAAGTTCACGAGTAAATCGGTTCGACTCATTAATTCATCTCATTAGGTTCACAAACTTAAAAGCCATTTTTTAAATATATTTTTTCTAATATTTGATATTTTATATTAATATTATTTTAAAAAGAAAATATTGAAATAAAATAAAAGTTATTAGATTGGAATTAAACTTTGTCTCAAAAATTTACTAATTCAAAAATTAATTAATTTATATGATGTTAATTTTATTTGTATAATTATTTTTACAAATATTTTACTCACTTGAGAATATAATTTTTCAATTAATATTGTTAGATTAAAATAAAATATAAGGTTAAAATTTTTAAATCTATCATTTTCATATACAATCAAATTGATTCATAAACCTAATGAGTCGAATTATGTATAGTTCAATTTCAACTCAATTAGTTAACAAATTTAGTTTTTCGTTCATATTTAACGCGTTAGATTCATGAATCAGGTTTAATGAATTAATTATCAAACTAAATTACAAATTATTTTTGAATTGATTTAATTCATTCACAACCCTAATTGCAAGATACATCAAAACATATATATATTCACTTTTTTTTTCTTAAACACACGGACAACATAAGATGCATGAAAAACAGAATGCGTCTATAAATCCAATTTGCATTTTATGAGATTTGCTTCACACATGAAAAATAAGGTTAATGAAAGGAATCACTATTTATATTTTATAGGCATTGGTGTAATAAAAAAATCGACGGGCACAACAGACAACATAAGCAGCATGAAAAACAGAAAGCATATATAACAAATACAAATTTCATTTTATAGAATTTGCTTCACACACAAATACAAATAAATTATAAAAGACTAATGCTAGATATCCTCTAGTAAAAACTAGTTAATGAACTAAATAATTTAAAATACTATATATTAATTTTAATAAAAATTTTAAAATTTCCACTTCACACAAAAACAAAATAATAATTTACGAAATGGAGAACCTCCTCCTCCTGGGCTTTGTCAAATCCACCGCATCTTCAATATTGGACGTATCTTTAGACCCATTCTTAAACGGGTTCAGCTTACCCAGTTTCTTTGACACCGAAGAGAAAAACGTTGATTTTTTCACTTCCTTTTTAGTTCCAGAAGACGACGTCGTTCCATTCTTCTGCAAATCGGAAACGTACATTTTCATCCTAATCAGCTCAGTACGTAACTCCTCGTTCTCTCTCACCAACGTCACGTCCGTTTGTAACTGATTTCTTTCAGCCGCCGCGTCACGTTCCTCCGCCGCACCGCTTCTTATCTTTAACTGATCGTAATATAACGCATGTAGCACGATCTGAACCGGTAGCCGTTTATTCTGAGACGCGTGTACACGCGCTTCATATGAGAGCTTCAGCGCGTCCATTACGCTGCACACCTTCTCCTTCTCTAATTCATCAAGGTTTGGATGCACCTGCATTAACACACGCGCCAAAGCGTTAGATTAAAATCTTACGGTTATAGTAGTAATTTTAGAGTTTAGACGTTGTCGTTTTGTATATGGTTTTCCGTTTTCATACCTTAAGGTAGATATCGACGGCGCGATAAAGATCATCGTCGAGTTTTCGCGCGCCTTTTGGAATGAGAATAGCGATTCCGTTGAACTTTGAAATGGTGAGTTCAGCGTAGGATGCGATCTCAGCGAGATACGCGTCGACGGTTTTGGCCACACGTAGCATAGCGGCGGAGCAGTTTTCTCCGAAGGTGGTACCTGCGCTGAATACGGTGGTGCTTTTTTCCTTTTCCACGAAAGTAGAGATGATTCTACGAATGCTGTCAAGATCTAGAAGCCTCTCGCCGTCGTAGGTGAATGACAGAACTAGGAGATCGTTAATTGTTACGTGTTCGAGAATCTCGGAGATTCGTTTCTCGAGTTCGCGCTTGCATGTACTTGAGGCGCGGAGGTATATAGCGCAGCGGAGAAGGCTGCAGAGGAAGTTGATTGGAAAAGCGGCTTTCTCTGAGGGAAAGAAAGGAACAATGGACTGTAGAATCTCGCGTTGTTCTGTTATTATTTCTGAATCGGAGTCGGTTGAACCTGATGGCCGGATTCTTCCACCGACTCCGCCGGATTGATCACGGACAAGCTCACGGAGCGTGCGTTCTGTGTAGGTAATAAATGCTCCGGCTAGTGTTAGGCACTTGGCGCCTCGTTGTTTCATGGCGTTGATCACTTTCCCGAATGAATCAACATCAAGTACGGCGAGCTCCTCCGTCCACCAATTCGGCGGCGAGCGGCTGGGGAAGTTTGCTTCATTGCACACCTTTATGCTGACCACGTCAACACAGCGTTTGACAATGTTTAATTCTTCGGCGACAGGTAAAAGCTGACGGCAGGACTTTAAAACCATGACTGCGCCGGTAAGAGTTGTGAGTGCAACCTGAGAGAGAAAGCCTTCTGTTCTTCCAGCAAGGTTTCCGTCGCAATACTCATCAGTCATCTGGAGGAACACGGCGGCACAGTGCAAAGGCGCCACGTTGTTGACTGTTATCTCGAAGTTGACGCCGTAACAGAATTTAGCTGCTTTCTCAAAAGCTTCTTGCCCGCCGGGTATGTCCGAGAGGTCTAAACTGGTGAGTTCACTCTCGTTTGATTCCATCATCGCCTTTCTGATATAGTTGCTCTTTGCCACCAGCATGAACTGTTAAATTTTAATTTCAATTTCATTAGTTAAATATTAAACTGATATCAATTTCATAGGCACAAAACCAAATAGATAAAAAAAAAACCATAATTGACACGCAAACTGAATTTTTTGGTACCTTATGGAGAGAATAAGAGGCTTCTCCAACTGTAACTGTAACATCACTTGGGATTTCTTGAGAGAAAACCCTGAGATAATGCAAATCATAAATTTATTACAAAATTGTACTCTGACAAAAAAAATTATCGGTTTGAAAGAGGAAGAAAAGAGGAGAAGAGGAGGGTAGTGCTGATTACCATTGCCCTGTTCTCTCCATGGCAAGGGAGAGTCTACTGGGAGTAGGATTATCCATGAGCTGATGTAGTTGGTTTCTTTTGGTCTGAATTTGTTTTGGGTTTTGAGAAAATGTGTACTATTAGCTTATATGGTGATGGTGGGTTGTTATAATAGAAGATTTGGACTTTAGAACCCCAGTAGATTAATTTCATTGTTACGAATTAATGATTTTTGTCTTTGACATGTAAGTTTGTCACTGTGGTCCAAGGCATAAAGTTGATATGTTTCCTTATCTATTAATAATTGCTATCTTGCTTTTAGTAAAGTGATTTTCTTTTTAAGCTAGTAATACACTTTAGGTCACTTATCGCTTGCTCTAATCTACTACTAGTTGCTTCCACATGTTTAGGGATGTTTCAATTCAACGTTGAGAGTAATTGGCTTCACGGGGTCTACTCGTGTTTTTACCTTGTCCTTGACGTTTACATCAATCTTCGTTTTATGTTTCTAACCTTAGAGATTTGATTAATCAAACGCTCCATTTTTTCATTCTTTCTTTAACTCTAATTTTCTTTTTCTTTTTTTCTTTTTTTCTTCATCCATTACAGATGGGTAATTTTAGGGTCAATTTTTATCCAAAATTTTCACTCTAACTTCTTTTTTTTCTTCATCCACTGCATTTCTTTTTTCTTTCCTTTTTTTCAACTTTAGTTTTTTTTTCTTCGTCCACTAAAGAGGGGATAGTTTTAGATCATCACTCTAATTTCTTTTTTTATTTGAAATAAGTGATTTCATATGTATTTTTAATTTTTTTCTTTGTGATTTTGTTGTGTTGGTCGTTGTCAATTTGAATTTTTTTCTTCGTGATTTCGTTGTGTTGGTTGTTGTCAATTTGAATTTTTTTTTTTTAATTTTTTTTTCATTTAAATTTATATTATTCGATGTATTTTATCGAATGAATGAATGTTGTTTTTAGTATAAAAAAAACCTTAGAAATTTGATTTAAATGTTTTTAAATGGAAAAAAACTTGTTAAGATTTTTATATAGCAGTGACACTTTTTACTAAGAAAAATTAGTTTAGGGATAGTGACTAGGAATGAGAAAATAGACCGTTTGCCTCGTCCTGCTTTAAATTCATAAAAAAAGTGGGATGGACAAGTCTGTCAAATGAAATTGGACTTGAAAATCTAACACGCTTCACTAAGGTGATGAGTTGGCGAGCGACGAGTTTCCTAGCATATATTTTTTAAATATTTTTAATAGATTAAAATGTTTATTTTTTTACATTTCAATCAGAAAGCATCACAACAACAATTAGAAAGCATAAAATGACAATTAAAAGTCTAAAATTATCAAAAAAATTCACCTAAAACAAAATAATCGATAAGAGTTTCAAAATTATAGTTAAAATATTAACCTTAAATCAACCAAAATATTTTAATAACTAAATTGATAGACTTAAGGCTGAACGGATAAGTGAACACAAAATTTCAATCAAACCCGTAATATTTTAGCGGATGCACAGATTGGTCTGGTGAATTATTGTCCATTTTGTCACCCCTAGTAGTAGTGACGGAATCAGAAATTTTGAATAGTAAAATCAATACATATATTAATAAATAAATATATTTTGCTATTAAAATTATATATATATATATATATATATATATATATATATATATATATATATATATATATATATATATATATATATATATCATAATTATTCTCTACGATTTTTTATATTTAAAAAATATTAAATATTTTTTTTTTATATTTTTAATATTAACAAAGATATTTTTCTCAATATAAATAACTAAACAATTATTTTTTAATCATTTATCAATCTTGCAATTTCAAATTCAATTATTGATAATATTCATCGTCATGATAATGATAAAAAGAAAAAGAGTAAGTAGTTTGGGTGTACTTGAAGAGTGAAAGAGAGTTAATAAAAATAGAAAAAGAAAAGTGAGTTATTTATTATTTTATTAAAAATATCTATTTCATTTAATATATAACTTTTTCTCCCTAATTTTATACATTTAATATATAAATATACTATTAATAAGATTAAAACATAAATAATGATAATTATAGTGTGGGCATAGGCCAACCCTTTCTTCGGAGTAGCTTAGTCCTTGTTTAAAGAAATGGTGATCCAGTCAAAGTAAAAATTTATAACTCAAATATTAATTATCTTATGGTCGTTTGTGTGTGTGTAAAGCCACCTATAATACATATCCTTAACACTTTTTTGGATTAAATTATGTTAAAAAAGACATTCATTACAAATATTCAATATTTAATTTAAACTTAAATTGGATCTCTTAAAAAATATTTCACAATTTAAATGAAGTTAACTCCAATTTTTTACTTAAGATCTCATAAAAAAAATAAGGCGTCTCAAAACTTTTCAAAAATAAAATCTAAGGGAATATCAAACAAACACTTAAAGATATTTGATATGCAATATTGGTGATGCATTTGATTTTACTATGATATTGAATTGCAATCGTGGTATGAATTAAAACTATGAATTTGATTGCATTAAGACCACAATCAATTTTATATATATATATATATATATATATATATATATATATATATATATATATATATATATATATATATATATATATATATATATATATATATATATATATATATATATATATATATATATATATATATATATAATCTAATCTGATTAGAAGGGGATCACAGGCTGACCACACGCTGTTGAACTGCTACCTGTTCACCGATGATGAGGAGGAGGGGAGTGTACCTGCAAGACACTCCGATGCCAAAGTAAGGAATTGGACAGAGTGAGAGCAAAATACAGAAATGAGGTAAGAAGTGAATTACCTGACCCTCTTGTGGAAGAGGGTATTTATAGAGAGACCCCAGCGCTGGGCCAACGGTCATTTGAGTTGGGCTGGATGACCAGGCCCAACCTAAGTGACTGCTAGGGCTTACGTGGCGTAGTGAAGACCAGAACGTGGTCTTCGCCCTAGTTCAACTGTCCCGCGATCTCCGGAAAGTGGGTTTGACCTGCTCTTTCGGAGGTGGGCAGTTGGTTAGTGACGTGTCCCCGCGGAGGGGAGCACGTGGAGAACGTGTGAAGGACACGTTGTTCTTCCCGACAAGGAGAAGGTCCTGCCCACGGAGGGTAAGGTCCTACCCGCGGAGGGGTATGGTCCTGCCCGCGGAGGGGGGGTTCGCCGAGCAGGGAGTCTCCAATACGACGTAGTTGGGGTAGGCCTCCCTCGCAGGGAGGTCTTTTTAGCTCGTCGGGGACCTCGTGCCCGACGCGGTGTTCGGACTGGAGAGGCCTGGTGGAACATTATTGGGCTGGGCCCGCGTGGTCAGCCCAGGGCCCAGGCCAGAACAGGAGCCCTCCAAGTCGTTGCTCCGAGGAAGGGAGCGAAGACTTGATGACGTCGTTCCGGGGAAGTGGACTGACCAAGGGGGAGATCCTTCAACGCGAGTACGCGTGTTCTACATCGTCGATAGTCTAGGCTTGAAGACGGGTGTTGGCGAGGAGAGGTGAATGGGCGTGTTTGTCTGCTTCCGCCACGTGTCATGCGCTGGGTGGCTGCTAGGGCGGCTACCCTAGGGTACTCAAGTGTCTAGCGACGCTTCGAGTCCCGTGCAGGGATATAAGTAAGCGAGCCCCTGCTCATTTCTCACTTTTCGCCCTCTTGCTCTTAAGTTTCCTGCTTGTTGTCTCGCCGCCGTCTGATATCTCCGCCGTCACAACCGCCGCGTTCTCCGTCGTCGATTTCATCGCAGTAAGTTTCCTTTCTCTTTTCTCTTGTTTTTTTGATTGGTTTTATGACCGTGGTCGGGGTTGTTTGAATGCCCCGAGGAGAGGCGAAGATCTCCGCCGTCCTAGGGTTTTTTTTAGGGTTTTTATTATGAATGTCCCAGGGAGAGGCGATGGTTCCGATGAGTGTCTCGGGGAGGGAAGCTTATTCCGATGAATGCCCAGAGGAGAGATTCTTTACTCCGATGAACGTTCCGGGGAGCGACGTCTATTCCGACGGACGCCTCCGAGGAGGGTTTGTAGTTCGGGTCGTACTGATGACCGGGGAGGTGGTAGGTTAGGGCAGATCTGTCAGAGACGATGCTCGGGAAGTCCTCGTCGCCCTTTCACTTGACTTGCGGTGGAAGGGTGAATTTGATCTCTGTCATCGAATTCACCGTTACCTTCTGCTTTTCAGGTGTTAATGACTATGCTCGTCTTGGGCACAATGGCCGAGGATAATGAGTCAGATGTCCCCTATTTTGATGAGTGCGCTGTTCCGATCGGAGACTGGGTGGCCGAGGAGCCTCTCACCACGCCCTCTTGCTTTGCTTCTGATCCGACATGGGCCTGTGCCACCGTGGAGGACCGAAAAGAGGGGGATCCTCAAAACTGGCAAGTCTACCGTCCCCGGCCAGGTCATCGAATCTGCTCGAAATATGGGCGGATGCGCTTTACGATGTATGAGTTTGACTTCAAAGAGGCTAGACTCAGGTTGCCTTTTTCGGACTTCCATTTGGGCCTCTTCGACTGGCTGGGGTTGGCCCCGTCGCAGCTGCACCCTAATGCCCTGGCTTTTATTCGGGCCTTCGAGCTCGTGTGCCAATATCTCCAGGTCGGCATCACGTTGCCGCTATTCTTTCGTATTTTCCATCTGCAACGACATTCGGTGAGTGGTCGTCATGGCTGGGTGTCGTTCAAGCATCCGGACAGGCTTTTCAGAACGTATATGGATTCTGTCCGAGATTTCAAAGGTCGCTTTTTCGTGGTCAGCCCGATCACGCACGAAGGGGTCCGTTCTTTATATTCATAGGGGGAGAGGATAGTGGATGGCTGTCGCGAGGCCGTCATGTTGCCCCGGGTGCACATGGAGTGGTCCCTGGAACATTATTCTCGGGGAACAGGTCGGTACATCGTGCAGGCGGGGTCGCTCGATGAGGAGGATATGGCTAGCTATCTGAAGATAGTTTCCTTCGTGCGCAATTTACCGTCGTCGAAGCTGGTCACCCCCGATGGCCAGTATATCCTCGACAGTTACGGAAACATT